AGGTGCTGCTCACTCCATCAGGGAGACCTCTGACTTCTCCCACTTCCTGGTCATCTCCTGCTTTCTCTTTTAAACCAGCTGCAACGGTACCTGCTATGCAGGGGTCACCCTGTATTCACAGACACAGAGTGTCCCTCCCCCATGCTTCCCGGGCACATACCTCTCTGAAGCCCTTTAAGTATGGCGTAATGGGTCAATGTTTCCCTCAAGCCTGCTTCATGCACTGGGTCAGCTCATCAAGAAGCTGGTCACGTGGGAGATCAATGGCCATCAGCGAGTGCAGGATTGACAGTACGCCCTAGCTTTTGCAGAGAGAGGTCTACGCCTGCTGAGGAGCTCAAGATTGGTTCCTTCTAGGTAGACCAAACTGTGAGGGTTTTGGTGACACCTTGTAGGATCTGTGAAGCCCAAGATTCCCTGGTTTTCTTTTTTTGACGAGTGGGTGTGGGAGCTGGAGTTGGGTAATGGCCACAGCTGTTCAAGTGGAAAACAATCTGAAGCAAAGCATTGCAAAGTGGAAGGCTTAAGATTGGGCACATTCCCAGAAAGACACATTTGTGTTGCTCCTGTAGGTCAAGAAGAGTATCTCTGCAAGTAAGGAGCAGGGAGCCAGAGAGCCCAGACCAGCTCTTCCTCCTGCCTTTGCTGAACAAGCCCATCACCTACCTCCCAGCTTCACTCAGATCCATACAAATGTCCAGCCCCCAGGAACCACTTCCTGAGAATTCCTCAGCACCTTGGTTGAGAATCCACTGATGGACATGTTTGGCTGAATTTTTCTGCTCTTTTTGTTGATCTATTTTCTGGACATTGAGCTGATTACTAGAGTTTAACAGTAAGTCTTAAAACAGGTGATACGAGACCTTTGATTGTGTTCTTTCTTTTCAAAATGGCCTTGGCTATTCCAGGACCTTTAATTTCCGTGTGAATTTTAGAATCAGCTTATCAATTTTTAAATTTTTTTAAAAAGCTTGCTGGATTTTGATTGGGATGCCATTGGAATCATTGATAAATTTGAGGAAAATTGATCTTTTAACAATAGTAAGTCTTCCACTCCATGAGTATGGTTTATCTTTCTATTTCTTTATCTTTTTAAATGTCTCTCAACAGTATTTTCATGTCTTGGTGTAGAATCTTACATATATTTTGATAAATTTATATGTATTTCACATTTTAATGCTATTGCATGTGATTTTTTTCAGCTTCTAATTGTTTGTTGATAACATGCAGAAATACAATCAATATTTGTCTTGTAACCTGAATAAGCCTAATTATTAGTTTCAACTTTTTTATTGAATCTTTAGGATTTACTATACAGATGGCCATGTCATCTTCAAATATGCACAGTGTTGATTCCTTTTTAAAAAAAGAAACAGTATGTTTCTTATTTGTATTTCATGCTTTATTGCCCTGGATTGTAATGCTAAATGGGAATGATGAGAGATAACATTCTTGCTTCATTCCAGGTCTCAGG